CCTCGTGGCCCCCGCGATTCCCTTGCGCCGTGTTTTGAATCCGACTTTCGTGTATGTTGCCTTTGGTCACTTTTTCACCTCAGATTTGCTGGTCTTCCTCTGGCGCTGGGATGAACAAGTGAGGTCAAAAGGGCGCTTCAACAACCGGTGTTGAACGGAAGTGAAAGTGATCGTGACCCGCACTATGTCACCTGTCACCGTCCCACTCGGCTGCCCGCCCCGCCGTGGCCCCTTCCCCCCCGCGGGTTTTGATTCCGACTTTCGCGTCTGTTCTTTTGCTCACTTTTTCGTCTCAGGTTTGCTGGTTAATCTCCGGTTCTGGGACGAACAAGTGAGGTAAATAAGGCGTTTCAATCTGTGTTGAACGGGAGTGAAGCGATCACCGTGTGGCCGTGTGGCTGATTTGTCGCTGTTCTAGCAGACAGTGCGCCGGCTCGCCCCGCTGCGCGCCCCGCGCCCCGCCTCCGCGGCAGGTGTTATTTTGACCCTTTTGACTGGAGGTAGAAGCCGTTTGATGCCTGGTGCTGCCCGGCTCGCCTGGCGCGGATGCGATATATGGTGAGCGATATAACCGGGCTGCCTGACCCGTCGTCTTCGCCAGGAGGGTGATTCCGTACGGCGTTTTGTTCTCTCCGTCCTTGTTGCACTCCGCTGCCTCCAGGAGGGAGAGGGCACGACTAAACACCGTGCGGGATCGCCCTGAGTTCTGTGGGCCTCGCTTGGCATTCAAACGTCTTCTACTTCGAGCCTATTTGGTCGGCATCGATGTGTCGGTGTCCCTAGCTAGCGCCCACGTCGGCTGCTGTTTGGACGCGCCCGCGTGCGCCCGCGTGCGCCCGCCTAGAGCTCGCGCAGGGAATGACCTCTGTGCCCCGGTGCCCCGCGCAGTCTGATAATGCTACGCCCAAAGCATTCTTTCGCGAAACTCGTGGTCCGCGCCCAGCCCCTTCGGTTTGTGTGTCCCCTCGTGTGCATCGCCAGCAAGAGAAGCCCACGACATGTCCTCCGGCTCGACTTCCACCGCATCCACCTGGGCGAGCGCTGAGGCGGCGGCGTTCGCAGCTGCTGCCGCCAAAGGTAGGCCTCGTCGTTCACCACCAGAGTTTGTGTACAAACGCTTTTTGTTTGGTCGCTCCACTTGTTCAGAGCTCTACCTTACAGCCGAGTATGGCGCCCTCTTACTCAAAGCCTAGTACGGCACCTAATTTCTTTCTATAGTGTTTCAGGTCTACTTAGCGATACTTAACTTTATTAGGGGGCTACACAACTTCCAAAGGGTACTCATCTCCATTCTCCAATACACAACAAAGCTCATTAATGACTGCATTGGCATTGTCGAACAATGCTCTCGAGTCCTTTCGCGCCGTTGTTTTTCTGCAGTCCGCGTTCATTTTCCGCGATCGCTCGTCGATGTTTAACAACTCATTATTTTCGCTCACGTCGCGATCGGAAGTTAAATTCGAATATCGTTAAATTTAAAGATTTTATCAACCGCGATATCCTTTAATTTAAAGATTTTATCAACCGCGATATCATTTGATTTAAAAATTTTACCAACCGCGATATCATTTAAAGTTTTATCAACCGCGATTTATTATATTTTTTAAATTTCATAACTTAACGAAGATTTTGGAGATCATTCTTCACTCTTCAAGGTCAGTCGTGTGTCCCATTAGAGCGTCGTTCTGCTTTGTTTTTAGCCTAATTTCCTGTAATTGTCCCAGCGCTAGCCTGGCCCCCGCTACTGTTTGCCTTCGTCTCGACTCGGACGCAGCCCTTTCTCAAGCTGCGAGCGAGCTGTCTGCCCGAGCCCGCCGCTTTGTGCTGCTGAGCTGTCTCCGCGTCTCGCACGCAGTCACGGGGAAGGACCACCGCTGTCGGCCGCTACGGGGTGCGTGACGCTGCAGCCGCCGCCCTTGCCGCAGTTTGACTTTATGGGACTACCGATCCACTGGTCCAGGTAATTTCACTCGTCTTGTTTTGATTGTTTTGTGACTACACATGAACTAATTCTGTTGTGTTTATGTTCCAGCCGACATCTCAATTTTGCTGTGACGAGCCCCTTCCTGGACTCTGCTGCAGCGCTTTATGGCCGTGGTCAACAGACTGCACAGGTACGTTTCGAAAGCATTTTGTTCCTCATTTGGCCCGCTTGTAGTGGCCCCGGTCAGTTCGTTGATATCGCCCCACTGCTTGCTGGCTGGCGCTCTGCTCCTGGGCTTGCACCCGCCGGACCCCGCGGGTGTCCCCCCTAGGTCCCCTCCCCCCCGCGGGACCGGCGCCGAGTAGCAGCGACCAGGGCAGTGTGTCGGCCGCAGCTAGCTGAGCGGGTGTTTTTATTGCTTTGTGACCGGTGGATCACGAGGGCAGACTGGTCGCTTATTGTAACCGCACGTAGGAACCAGTGTCTAATACCGTCTTCTCTGTTTCACTTCCACGCAGCTGCCCCGCCCGCCGAGACCTCAGCCGCCTGCTCTGCTCTCAACCCTGGGAGAGCCAAGCCTGTACGTCACCACCACCAGATGTGGCCTCGCCGCGGAGGGCCGCTCCCGTGTCTTCATGGTCGTCTACAAGTAAGCGGAAGCTCTTATTTGTTATTGGATATTAATTTGGAATAATGATTCTAATCAAGTTTCGTCCCTGTTGCAGAGTAACCGTGAGGCACGCCTGCACTCGTCAGCTGCAGCAACCGCCGGCCCCACGCCCCCAGCGGGGCCTCCGCGGGACATCCTCTAGCCAACGTTTCAGCTCGCAGTAGAACGTCATTCAATTATTTGGAGATGTGCAGATATGCACTTGCTTCTCCAGTTCCAGTTCCACCCCAGTCAGCAGGAATTCACTGCGGTCGGCGAGGACATTTCGACTCCAGGACACTGTAGAAGTCGACACCCTGACATATAGGGGTCTGCTATCAACTCAGCTTCGCTGTCTACCAGAGTAACCGGGAAAGGTAAGAAACTGTTTCGCCTGGGCTGGGGCTGAGACATCTTCCAAATTTATGATATTGTGCATTTACGACTTACTGTAAAATGTTTTCCCCTGCTCAGGTTGTTTCTTGGTGACGATGCCGGCAGCTTCCACAACTCGAACAGAATTTGGTACCTAATTCTCTGAAACCCGCCACTTAATGGATGCCTTTGACTGCATAAGAGTGTCAGGTAATACCTTCAATATATTCAAATATGAACTTTTCAGTGCACTTTGTGACAGTAATTTCTGACACCCCATAGGACAGAAATTTGTCACTGACATCTATTTGATATCACCAGTTAATCTCCACATGCTTTTCCACAGTTCCAGGCCAGTTCCACCCCCGTCAACATACGTCAACCCTTTTCGGCCAGCTAAGCCATCTCGACTCCAAGCCATGCAGGATCTCCAGGACTCTCAAACCTGATATTAGACTCTGCTTTTAACTGCTTCGCTGTCTCAGAGTAACCAGAAAAGGTAAGCAACTGTTTTTACCAGCCTGAGACATTTTTTATGTCTAATTTGTTTTCAATTAATGATTATTTTTTAAAATGTTCTCCTTGCCATAACATCTACCTATTCCCTCAGGTTCTTTCTTCAGTTCCACCCCCTTGTCAACAGGAATTCACGGTGGACAGCGAAGACGTCTCAACCCTGATACTTGCAAGACCTCCAGGACTCCTACACCCCAACAAATTGCTTCCTGCTTCTACCTCTGCTTCACTGTATCCAAGAATAACCAGAATAGGTAAGCAACTGTCTTCTCTAGGCTTAGATATCTTCCATATTTTTAATTTTATTTGAATTTATTATTTGCATGTTAATGTTTTACTGAAAGTAACATTTATCTATCCCTTCAGGTTACTTCAATGCTCTGCTCTGCCGCTGAATGGAATCCTTCCAGCTCCAAATTTCAAGACACGCAATTTATTGTTCACCTTATATTACTTCACAAACATTAAGCATTTAAGAATAGTCAAAGTGTTTGCATATCAATCTGTCCTTTGAGTGTAGCCTAAAGGTGTTAATTTATTTTGTGAAATACGTTTGTCGCATATCAATCTCTCTCGACTTTCGGACTTGCCCTTCTTGACTGACTCCCCTTCTTTGTACATCTTTGAGCATGATCACCTGATTTGTTGGTTGTGGTTTTTGAATTTGTTTTTTAGTTTGTTGCATGTTAGTTGTTGTGAATGTGGGGTCTAGTGTAAATTCCATATTGCTTACCTCTCCTCTATGGCATAACAAACTTAACAGTTCCTCTTCTTTCTTCTGCACATTTAAATAATATGCACAAACGTATTTCATCCAATTTAAATTAAGCTATACACTTTTCTAGAATTTAATTATGTATTACTTTCTATTTAGTACTGTGTTACTACTTCAAAGGCAATTTTATATAGTTTTGTTTCTTTGTCTTGTGATGTGGATTTTTAGCCAGTTGGGCTCAAACTTAATGTGAAGGCCTAATCCTTAGTTATTACCATTTCGCCAATTGCGCTCTGCCCTTATACTTGATTTAGGTAGGCTTGTTATTGTCAATCTAATAACCCGTTGTTAGCCGTTCTAGTAATGTCAATATCAAAGGCCAAAGTTAGACTTTATTGCCTTGTTAATTAAATTGCTTCATTTTACGGGATTCCTAAACTTCTAGCAATGTTAAGCCGTTTTCTAGGCAAAAGGCCGCAATCCATAGGGTTGCTTATTTAACAATTTTGTATTGACTTTGCTATCTTTTTCTTCAAAAAGGAAAGATGTGTCCTACTTTGCTAGTTCTATCCCCGGCAGAGAACGCCCCACAGCAGTCAGCTCTTTTCCTGTTTGTTGCCCTCACTTGAACTTGGCACTTCTGATTTGGCTTTGAAGCATTAAACTTGTTCTCTAAAGCGGTCTCTTGTCCTTTTCCCTCGCCCACCCACACATACTGCTATATCTATTTGTATGTATAATATATATTGTTCTACCCTCTGCCAAGTTTTGCTAGGATTTGCAGTTAGCATTTTAGTCGTCGCAGGAATGACTTGTCCGTGCAACCCAGTG